CCTCCACTCCACTCTCTTATTTTTGTCCTCTCCAATTTTCTTCTTTTTCTGGATCTGGGGATGGTACCAGGGACTCTGCATGCTAAGTAATTGCTCTACCACTGAGGTGCACCCTCTGCTTTCATTATGTGATCTTTATGCCTTTTCTCTAGCTTAAGCAGAGGTAACATTCCATTCACTGGAATACACTTGGTCAGCTTCAAGCTAAGGAAGGGAAGAAAAAGAGAGAAAATATAGGACAAAGGAGGGTGGAAGGGAAAAGAGCAAGAGGGAGCAGGGGAGAAAAGAATGCTATCAGTGTTGCAGAACAATGCCATGGTGGCAGCAGTCTCAAGAGGTAGCCACTTCCAGGCTGGACCATTCTGTCTCAGCACACATGCTTTCCCCACTGGCTAAGAGACCATCTTTTGAGATGACCCAGAAAACAATTCCATCAGCTCTCTCCATCTCTCCTACCATTTAATAATGGCATTGTTCTTCCCTTTCTAAGTACTTTGGCCCTGTGTCTCAGTTTAAGCTATTTCTTCTCTTGGAGTGATCTCTCCTGTGTCCTTACATGAAGAGTAGTACATTCTTTAGGAGGTAGCCAGATCATTACCTTTCAGAGGCAATTTGCTTGGATCCATTTCCCTTCTCTGGATTAGGGGACCCTTCCACAGTGCAGCTTGTTGCTGCCATTTCAGATGGCACCCATGGAAATCGTAGTATTCTGGATTCATGTCCCACTGGTCCCACTAGCCAAGGCATCTTGTATATGATATAACCTGCTTAAGACATACATGTAGGCATTTGGTATATAGTTACTGAATTGATTATATTCAGAAATTCCAAAAGCCAACTCACATTTGATCTCTTTTGAATGGGCTGTATCCAGAACCAAACAAGCCAATCGGCAGAGACAAGGTCTTATACAGAAGGATTGGAGTATAAATAGGGTGACCACAAGGTTCTAGAATCTCTCATGGTTGTTCCTCAATGACAGTACAGACAAACTTAAAGCATGGTCTGGTCCTAGCCGTGTTCACTAGGCCCCATCTTCGCCATTATCACCATTTATGTTATTTGTTTGCCCTACCAGTGTGGGAAAGGTCTCTTCATTGATTTCTGGCCCCATTCCTAAATGTCAAGGCCCTTCGCCCTCTAGTCCTTTCTTCCACGATGTTAGTGTCATTTTCAGGGATTGTGAGCCAATCTCCAGTCCTCAGTCTGGGTCACTAATTAATCATTACATCCTAGGAAGCACCAAGCCTTCTAGAATGCTGCATATCACAGTTTTGTTTTGTTCTTTGATCAGGGACACATTGCTTCAGAGGGCAGCAGAATGGCTGCTCAAGGCTTCTGTCACCTGGGCACTTTACCCACTGGGTTTCCCAGCATCCTCAAGATGCATGGCCCGAGGACCAGAGCAGCTAAAGCTGAGTTTTAAAGACAGACTCCTTCAAAACTCTCCTCTGCTCTGGAACAGGGTCCTAAATACACTGAAGGAGAGATTCCACCCCACTCAAACCATTCGTAGAGAGAGACTACTTGCCTTTTTTTTTTTCTTGTTGAACTGGCTTTAACCTGGGTTTTAGCCAGCCTGATAAATAGAGGAAGTTGGATGCATCCCCAGCCTCCTGATGTCATGGTTTGGGGCACTCTGCAACTGTGGGAGGTTTCAGTTAATCTCAGCAATTGGTGAGTTAGCTGTTCTTCTCTGAGAAACCTCTCTCTTCTGTGCCATCTCTTACATAAGTTGATAGGACTTCTTTTGTGACTTGCCCTTTCCTTTTAATGATGTAAGATCCCCAAACATTGGCAGCCACTATGTTTTGTTACTGAAGTGCTGGTGCAGATGAGATTCTGCTTCCTGATGAGTTGCTCTGGGAGATGAGGGCTAATGGGGGTGCGGTGTCCATCAAGGTAAGTTGGGATTCACAGGCAGGAGGATGGGTAGCTTTTTAGTTAAGTTTAGGCCTCAGTGTCCATCAGGCAAGTTCACACAGCCTTTCTTTGCTATAGTTTTCAGGAATTTGCTCAAGTGAATTCCTACTTTCTGGGAAGGAAACTGTTTTCTTGTCTCTGAGATCAGAAGCCTTTCTGCCCCAAAGTAGGAGGGGAGGTGACAATAAGCAGACAAAGTGATGACAACATCCCCTCCCATTTGTCTCACCCTAGACCTTCATTTAGAAGCTCTGTTTACTCCTCAGTCTTTCACTTTTCTTCACCAAAAGAAATAGCCTTACTTGTATGAATAATACATGAAGACATTGATGTGCGCTATAGAATTAAAGTTGGCTTCACCCTCTATGTAACTGTCCTGTCTGTGAAGGATTGGTAGGTTTTCTTCTATGATTTTTTTTATATGAGCTGACCCATGTCACTATACCAACAAACACACGCATGTACAGCTTGATCGTTTCTTCACATGGCCTCGTGGATACATATTAGTGTATCAAGAGTTTGCTTTTTTCACTGGCAGTCTCTATAATGTCATTGAAATCAACTGCACTTTTAGCCATTGAACCGTATTGGATAATGTGGCTGTGCCATCATTTAAATATTCATCTCCTTGGATATTGAGAATCCCTCCCTCACCCCCCATGAGGCTGTGATAATAGTGTTTTTCTTGATGTATTTGTGGATGCCAGTATACCTCTGAATTTAAAATCTCTGCACATTTTTAGTGTTTAAAGACAATATCTTCAGAATAAATTATACACATAGTTCATCCAGAGTTGTTTATGTATGTGATTTATGTATATGATTCCAGCATTGACTACTTAGTATTAGATAACCAACTAGGAGGCTCATCCCTGGGAAAAGACTAATTCACCCTCTGTCAGCAGTCCTTAGTTGCCTGTAGTTCTTGTACCTGGAAGAGGTTTGAGGAAGGAAAGGGAAAGGGGGAAGCAAATGCAATTTCATTTTAATTTCAAAAAATAAAAACAATTATGAGCAAAATAAAATCTAGAAACAAAAATAAAGTCTATACAATTCAAAAATCAAAATCTCAAAGTTTTTTTTTCCAGCAGTGGTGCATGCAGATATTTATTTTGCAACATGCTCTCCAGCTTTGGGCATTATTAGCATGTTTTTTCATCCACTGGGAAAAACAAATGTCATTGTTGTTTGTCCTACTTTTCTACCTGAAAATGTTCCAAAGGAGAAAATGGAGCCTCCTGTTGTTCATTAATCAGCTGCATTACCCGGAATAATTAAGTGTGCTTTATTGTGGTTGTCAATAAGGTTTTGGAAGACACAATATGCTTGAGTTGTGAAATGGCATCAAAATGTTATTTGGAATTCCTCTGTAGAAAATAATTTTTATAAATTTTCAATACAATGATTTCCATACTCTACTCACAATGAATTTGTTTCCATTTGATTATGTGAATGTTTTGGTGGCAGTCATACATCCATTCAGTTGTAATCCATTCATCCAAGGACAGAACAACATGTTTGGCCTTCAGTTTTTCTTGCCTTCTATAAACGTTGCCTAATGGAGTTTTTGGCATGTTGGATTTTAATTCATTAAGACATGAATTTTTCCTCTTAAAGAACCTTCTATGAGCAATAAAATCTCAGTATGTCAGTTGGCTCCAAGATGACCTGATAGATTGTTTCTTTATTGAAAATCTTGATTTTGAAAGTCGTGATGGTTCTGTTTCACATGAGATGATGCCATTAATGTGAAGTGACTGTCATCTTTGAGCTAATAGCTGTACCAAAGTAAAGTGTGCTGGAATATTCTAAAAGATACAAATCAGGGAGTAAGCAGAGCTCTGTGCTTTAAATAGCTACTCTGTTTCTTCCCTCCACCATGTTTGTGGTCTTTCAGTCATGCTGTAATGAATGACCCCATCTCCCCTTTTCAGCTCAGGGCCAAACTTATTAGTCAGTCAATAGTCATTTTCTTAACCTTCTTAGAGAAAATAATTTGCCTTTGGCTTTATAAATACCTGTCAAATAACTACCCAACACTTGATGTAAAGGAGTTTAGGTTCTAAGGAAGTTAAGATTCAGAATATCTGAGAAAAAATTACTAAAAAAGATACAGAATATGAAGTGATACATGGCCAATTGTTGTCTCTAGAAGAGTCTGCCACACCCGTGATCTATTCTGATCACCTCACCATCTGCTCAAGTTTCTTTTTTTTAAAATCCAATGTTTTAGTGTTTTTTTATTTTATGTGCATTGGTGTTCTGCCTACATGCATGTCTGTGTGAGGGTGTCAGATCTTGTAGTTACAGACAGTTGTTAGCTACCCTGTGGGTGCTGGGAATTGAACTCCTGACCTCTGAAAGAACAGTCAGTGCTCTTAATCACTGAACCATCTCTCCAGTACCCTTAACTTTCTTTTTCTGTTGTGGTGAAAAATTATCCTGACAAAAGCAACTTAAGAAAGGAGCTGTTCATTTTGGCCCATACAGTCTACTATGACCATGAAGTCAAGGCATCGGGAGCTTGAAGCACCTGGTTACAAGGCAGCCAAGTCAGAAAGAAGAGAGTTAGGTGTGCTCATTCTCAATTAGCTTTCTTCTTTTTATGCAGTGAACCAATGCAAGAACAAATCATTGGAAATGATGTCACCCATTTTTTAAAAAAGATTAATTAATTTATTTATTATGTATACAGTGTTCTGTCTGCATGTATCCCTGCATGCCAGAAGAGGGCACCAGATTTCATTTCAGGTGGTTGTGAGCCACCATGTGGTTGCTGGGAATTAAACTCAGGACCTCTGCGAGAGCATACCTCTAACACAATTAACACTGATTTAGACTGAGCAGCAATGCATATGTGGATGGGGTCATTCCCTCACCCCCCACAAAGAAAACCCCTTAGCTTCTGGGTTGTTCCTGTCAGTTATAATCTGTTCCTTGGTAGCAGGACTTGCATGTTCATTTCTTTTGTAAGTCTACCGTCAACATGCAGTCTTGGTGTGCAGTATTATTGCCTTCTGTCACCCTGAAAGTCCACTTTGCATTGGCCTAATTATCTGTTCTTGTTTTCTTTTCAGATGTGCACAGAGTTTCTCCCCTCTTTGCTCTGAACTTCCTGTCAGGTGAGTCCAGATGGTAGTACTGTGAAAATAATGAACATACTTGGTTTTGTTGCTGTTGTTTTCCCTTTCATATCCCTCTGCCTTCTTCATTCCGGATCTCCATTTTCCTCACGACCTTGTGTATTCCTGTTTGGTTTGTAACTCTTTATTCCCACTTGGAGCTCTCTTTTCTTCAGACATTTTCTTTTTCTTACAGAAAGGCCCTTGTTGAACCTTTCTTCTTGGTAACCCAGTTGTTTTTGAATAGGCTTTCAGGAAATGGTGGCGATTTTGGAGTAGGAGTAGACATTGAAATGACATGGTACAATGAATGTTGAAGAAGGAGACTTATTTACATAGGATTTTTGGACTATTGTCTAGCTGTCTTGCTCTTTGGACTGGCTTCCCTGGCACCAACAGCTTTTGTCATGTTTTGAAACAGACAATGGTGTATTTTTTCTCGTCACCTGAAGGGCTGTGCCCATGCAACTTTCAGAGTGACTCTCAACCAAATTTCTGTTTAACTCTCTTGTAGACAGCAATTCGGAAGCCGCTACTGACTTTCATCCTTCCCTCTCTCTCCCTTCCTTTAATTTTTGCAGTACTTTGGGTCAAATTGTGGTGCCTTTCGTGTACTAAGCTAGTGTTCTACTAATAACCTATGCCCAGTATTATTACTTTTTCTTTTTTTTTTTTGAGACTCAAATAGTGGTTGTTTCTGGGTTTTAATTTATATAAATTGTCAAAATCTTATAAACAATATAAATGTTTGTTATAACAAATTTAAATTAGAATAGTCCTATTATGATTTACAAAATAAATAACACATAATTAAAGTAGATACTAGTAAGGTATTGTTTTAAATTAGAATAGTCCTATAATAATTTACAAAATAAATAACACATAATTAAAGTAGAGAATAGTAAGCGATTGTTATAAATAAAGGTTTAAAAACCTAAGTAGGCTCACACAGCTAGTAGAGATGCAGGCTGTGATTTAAAGCTGGAGTTGACATGATAAAGTAATAAAAGCAAAGAAAGGCCATAATATTGGTTTAGGAGGTGTAGGCGGTATGGCTTTCCCAAGAATCCGCCTTCCTCTACAGTATGATCTCCTGAAGCACCCATACCATGTGCTCTGACCAACTCCTACTTCCTGCCAAGTACAGGTCAGCACTGAAGGATTTTTGTTTGTTTTCGAGACAGGGTTTCTCGGTGTAGCCCTGGACTGTCCTGTAATTCACTCTGTACACTAGGCTGGCCTCGAACTCCCGGGGCTCCTCCTGCCTCTGACTTCTAAGTGCTCTTAACTAGAGTCTCTGTTCTAGTTTCATTTCTGTTGCTGTAATAACTCCTGTGTATGTTCTCGACTCTTACAGTGTTCAAGATCCCCTGCTTAGGAAATGGAGCCACTCATGGTGGACAGTGTTCTCACCTCAATGAACATAATCAGGAGAACTCCCCTCCAGACGAACCTGATCTAAATAATTGCTCATTGAGACTCTTTTCCCAGGTGCTTCTCGACTGTGTCAGATTGTAAAACTATCACAATTCCCTCTCCTATTTCTCCCCTCTACCTATTCATAGAATTATTCTGTAGAAACAGATTATGGACCAAATCCATTTTAAAATCTTTTATGAGTGGCTGCTGTAGGGTTGGGGTGAGGTGATGTCTAATCTTCAGTAGAAGAGCATATTGTATTTTAGTGCTTTGGTTTTTTGTTGTTGTTTTAAGCCAACTTGAGCCCCATCAGCCATGAAGAGAAAGTGTCTTTTACATTTACCAGGTTTTGTAGCTAGATTTTTCCTGCTTTGCCCACAGTCAGGACAAATCTTTGTCCCCTGCCAGTCCCACAGCCGCTCAGACCCAACCAAGTAAACACAGAGACTTATATTGCTTATAAACTGTATGGCCGTGGCAGGCTTCTTGCTAACTGTTCTTATAGCTTAAATTAATCCATCTCCATAAATCTATACCTTGCCACTAGGCTGTGGCTTACTGGTGTCTTCACATGCTGCTGGTCATGGTGGCAGCTGGCAGTGACCCCCCCCCCTTTCTTTCTTTTCTCCTCTCTGTTAGTCCCGTCTATACTTCCTGCCTAGCCACTGGCCAATCAGTGTTTTTATTTATTGACCAATCAGAGCAATTTGACATACAGACCATCCCACAGTAAGGTTTATTATATTTTATTAAGAATTTTTTTATTCATCTTGCATACCAACCACATATCCCCCTCTCTTCCCTCCTCCCACCCCCTCAGCCTCACCCCTCCAACCCATCCCCCATCCCCTCTTCTGAAAAGGTAAGGCCTCCCATGGGGAGTCAGCAAAGCCTGGTACATTCAGTTGAGGCAGGTCCAAGCCCCTCAGTATTTAATTGTTTTGACACAGGGTTTCATATATTAGCCAAAGATGACCTTGAACTTCTGTTCCTGCTGCCTCCACTTCTCAAGTGCTGGGATTTCAGGCATGGATCTTTTTATATTCAGTACTGGGGACTGAAGCCAAGGTCTCATGCACACTAGGCAAATGCTCTTCCACTGAACTGTATTTCTTGCATTACTTTCCTTTGGGTTGATTTTGGCATAGAATGTTCCCATCCTTTTACACTCAAGTTTTCAGTAACAAGTTCTAAGTGTGCCTTTGTTTTGTAGTAACATGGAGTTGGAGGTTGTATTGTGTATTTTTTAACCTATCTACACTCACCTCTTATTGGGATCATTTAGTTCATTTATATATAAAATGAATAATTAAAGTTCTCATGTTTTTAAATTTATCATATTCTACTGTTTTTCTAACCATTTTTAGTTTCTTTTCCCTCTCTTTGTCTTCTTTCAAGTTGACTATTTTAAACACCGTTTTGCTCTCTTCACTATTAGGATGCTTGATGAACCATTTCTAATCTCACTGCCCCTGTTCTCCGGGCTAGACCCTCTGCATGTGGGGGACAGTTGTGCAGCTGGGTCTGTTTGAGGGGCCCCTGGCAGTGGGATCAGGATCTATCCCTGGTGCATGAGCTGGCTTTTTGGAGCCCATTCCCTATGGTGGGACACCTTGCACAGCCTTGATGCAGGGAGGATGGGCTTGGTCCTTCCTCAACTGAATGTACCAGGCTTTGCTGACTCCCCATGGGAGGCCTTACCTTGTTGGAGGAGGATATGGAGGGTGGGTTGGGGGGGAAGCTGGGGGACGGAAGGACGAATGGGAGGGGGATCTGTGGTTGATATATAGAATGAGTGGAAAATGTTCTTAAATAAAAAAAGAAATTGGAATAAAATAAAGATTAATTTCAAGTGAGAATTTGTTTTTTGTTGTAGTGGTGGTGGGGGTTGTTTTTTGGTGGAAAAATAATCGCTGTTTTATCTATTTGAAAATGCCTTCCTTTTGTCCTCATTCACAAAAGGTGTTTTCACTGAGAGTCCAATTTTCTCTTCAGACATTGTAGGTAATATTACATTGTCTTGTGGCTTCTGAGAAGAGACTTGTCAGTGGAACAGTTGCTCCTTTAAAATGGAATGACCTTATTTTCCTGTAGCCATTGTCAAGACATTTTTTTTAAAACCATAATTTTCCCCCAGTTTCATTATGAGCGGGCTTGGTGCAGATCTCTTTTTATTTGCTTATTGTAATTGAGATCCTAAGGGCTTCTTGAATCTGCATTAATGTTTTTCTACCAGTTTGGGCTTTTTTTCCAAATACCAAATTTCCCTATTCTCTCATCTTGGACTTTTACTTACGGATATGTTGGCCTTCTAGTTCTCCTCTCCATATCTCTGTACTTTTCTTTGATCTTTCACATCTGAAATCCATTTGCTTCACTGGCCTATACCTTTAGGTACCATGTGGCTTCACTGTTTAGGTTACCTTTCTGGCTTCCTATTTAATCTTCCATTTTGGCCAGACATGTTTAATATTTTATTTGTGATTTTAAGTTGTTTTCAACAGAAGATTCAGTCTAATAAGCTAGCTCAACCTATTCGTATAATACAAAAGAGATTTTTGTGTGCTTTAGGAGAGATTTGCCAGACATGCTTCTTTTACCAGAATTTAGGTAGAAATTTAATTATGCTTTTACTCATGGTTTCTTGGTTTATTTGTTTCTTCTGACTGTTTTGAAAGTTAAATATTTAAAGCAATTGCCTTTTTTTCCTTTTTGTGCTTGCTTTGTCCACACTAAGAACCTTTCTTCTTCTTCTTCTTCTTCTTCTTCTTCTTCTTCTTCTTCTTCTTCTTCTTCTTCTTCTTCTTCTTCTTCTTCTTCTTCTTCTTCTT